TCCTAGGCCTTCAGCTGGGTTTTATAAAACCTTTTCACTTTAGGTCTCCACCGTGGTGTACCAAAAAAAAAAAGGTTCAATCAGTCAATTTCAACTTCTTGCGGGGAAAAAAAAGATCTTGCAAAGTTGGAATTGATTGATTGAACTTTTTAGTCCCACCCAGTCTGCCGTTACCACTGCAGCCACACCCACCCAATGGACCACACCCACCTGGCACCCGACGATGCATAAGTGGGTTTTGGGTTGCAGTTTGGGCACTCAGTCTCTAAAAGGTTTGCCATCACTGCCATAGGAGAATGGCTGAGATTTGCTCAAAACCAAAACAAGTAGAATGTGAAATGTATCCTTGGGTAAAATTGAGAAGGCATTTCATGGGGAATAAAGTTAACCTTACGGTAAGAGCATAGAAGAAGAAACAGGAAAAGAAAAATCTCTGAGACCTAAGGTGAAGAGCTGAAACATGCAGATGACCACTAAATGGCAGGGGGAAAAAATACAGAAACTGACTCTTTGTTTCTATCTGGGGGTTGTCCAGATTTGTGCAACCCACATATGGTAGGTAGCATCGTCTTAACAATGACTTCCACAAAAGACATATTTAGCTATTAATCACTTCCACTGATGCTGCCCTAAGCAGGTGACAAATGGAAAGAGTCTAGAAAATTTAAGAATCATAATGTAACTACCATTTAAGGATCATTAGCAAAGGAGAATTAATTGTAATTCATTCAAACAATGAAATTTTCTCAAATTATTGTAATTGAGAAGAAAGCCTGGTCACTTCTTTCTGTATCGATTGCAGAGATCATCTTAACCAAGAGACAATTAATATTCTCACTGCAATCAGATTTGACAATGTAACGATGTTATATCTTTTTTTACTTTTGTTTAACCCTAAAAATACGATTTTATTACATTTGTTTTAATTCTCTCTCTCTCTCAAAACTCCATTATGTAGACAATTTCAGATGCAGATAAACCTCATTTGATGTGTGATATGTGCAAGAAAGTCGTACAGGTGGCAGAGAACTTGGTGGAGAACAATAACACAGAAGTAAGAAACATTGAATTAGTCTGTTATTATGTTGTGGGAAATGGTGATAGAGGAGAATTTCTTGAAGGCATCTTCTATACACTGAATTAATTTTCAAAGCCTTCATCTCTGAAATTATGAGAAGAAATGAAGACAAATGCATGGAGTTTCTTGATTTCGAGCAACCAAATCAACATTTGATTTTTGTTTCTATGAGGCTTTCCATTTAGTCCAATCATAATGTGGATTCAGGTTGTCTGGATGCAAATTATTTCAGATTTAGGGAAGGTGCAGAACATTTGAAGAGATAACCAGAGAAGAGAGAACTTTAAACAAATACTCTCATATTTGCTGCCTCTGTCACGTTTCCCTCTGCTATTCAAGAATGACTAAAACGGTCTTCACCTCTGAACATTATTTCAGCAAATTAACTTCACTTCTTTCATTTGTGCTGTTACTGGAAGAAAGAAGTACAAATAATCCTTGATTTATGACCATAATTGAGCTCAGAAATATAGTTGTAAGTCATGCTGGTCATTAAGCAATTCATCATGTGCCTGACTCAATTTTACAATATTTTTTTAGTGGTCATTAAGTGAATCACCATGATCTTTATTTTATTTTATTTAAGAAAATTTATATGGCTGTCCACTCATTCTGTGACTCATTAAGCTTAATCCACAGTCATTAAGTGAGCCCATTGTCCACAATGTTTTTTTTTTTGACAGAAACTGGAAGTAAATACCAGTTTCCAGAAAAAAAAACATTTTGACCACAGATATTACAAATGGCCACAAATGCGAGCCAGTTGCCACGTGACCAGAATGTGATCACATGACCATAGGAGAATGACCATTGGAAATTTGAATCCAAGTTGTAAGCACCTTTTTTTGGGTCTGTTGTAAGCTGAGGACTACATGTAATGGCTCTCTTCTCCCTCATTTGCACTCTCTGCAGATTAGATGCTTGATTTCTTTTTAATCTATTTTTTTTAATCTTTCTATATTTCAGGAGCAAATAGTCCATCAGATGGAGAATGTTTGTTACATGTTGCCTCATGAAGTCGTTCCTCAGTGCAGGGACTTTGTGAATTCTTATGGAATGGCAGTTCTCATTATGCTGTTGGAGGCTACTAAACCTGAATCCGTGTGCATTATGCTCAAATGTTGCCCAGAAGATGTATCTTTAAGCACCGGTAGGTTTTTGTTTGTTCTACATCTTCTGCCTTCAGGATGGGAATGAAATTCATTTTATCGGTCTTAACTTTGTATTTATAGCACATCTTGTAGCACATATCTAACTTTCACAAAATCCAATCTCAGAAAGATTGGATCATGTTCATACTTGGATGGGAGTTTATAAATGCAGGTTTTTTGGAAAGGTTTTTCAGAAGTGGTTTGCCATTGCCTGCTTCTTAGGGCTGAGAGAAAGTGATTGGCCCAAGGTCACCCAACTGGCTTTATGCCTAAGCTGGGACTAGAACTCATGGTCTCCTGGTTTCTAGCCTGATGCCTTAACTGGCTCTCTCAGTAGATTAAGAAGCTGAAACAACAACAACCTGGAAGTAGGCATTTCATTATTGTTGCCAAATATACAGACATACCCACAAAGTCTCCAAGAATCAAAGTTGACTTGAAGGCGATTTCATCTTTCTGATAGACTTTTCGCACTAAAGAGACTCCCAGAGAAGCATTTGAAGATTAATAATCAATCATTATCCGCAAACTCAATGCTCCTAACTATTCAGATCTCTCTGAACTACCCCCAGAGATCCGGGTGATCCCGGATCTCCCCTCCTTCTGCCGCGCCCTTAAGACATGGCTCTTCCAACAAGCGGGATTGGCCTAGGGGAATTTTTAGTGGGGTTTTAAGAGTAATTTTAATTGACATAGGCCACAGTAAATATTTTATTTTAATTAGGTTTTAAACTGGGTATTTTTTATTGTTGTATCTGTTTTACAAGGCTGTCAGCAGCCCTGAGTCCGTAAGGAGAAGGGCGGGATAAAAATTAAATAAATAAATAAATAAATAAATATCCCATTTATGAATCACTTTTTCCTGAATGCTTGGCTGCTGCCTATTATTTGTCTTTAAACCAAGGATGAGCAACTCAGGAGTTTCATGTGCCCCCCTGCCCTCTCCCCATCCCACCTCATTTTCTGCTCATAAGCAGTTCTAGATTGTGCTTCTGAAATTGGGTGGCAAAATGACCCAATTCCTGAAAAACAGATTTTTGTCCATTTTTAAAAATAGAAAATATAGGAAATAGAATTGAAAAATATTCAAAATGAGTCTAAACAGCAAAACCACACCCCAGGTTATAGGTTTCTGACTTTTAGAGGGGAATATTTAGTGGGTTAGGTAGGGATGGGGGAACTTGCCTTCCAGAAATCCTTTGCTTCAATTCCCAAATTAAAACCATAAAAATGGGCCAAAGAAACTAGAAGTTGTCCCTTTTGACGATCATGATATTAAACTATAGCCTTGTGCCTTTAAAATGTGCTTAATCTTGTTCTAAAGACCAGATACAGACTTCAAACTAGATGATGCTTTTAGGCTTTGTATATTGTTCATACCTTTAAATTTACTTTCTTGCAACTGCTTCTAATTTTGGTTTGTTTACTGGCTTTTGTGTTTCATTTAGAGCTCATTCTGTACTGCATTAGGCATGACTGAGAAATGACTTAAAATAATTTAATTGTTATACACACATATGTATGAGAACTAGCATTAAGTCAAGCTGTACACGCTAATGTTTATTTGTTTGATGTTTAGAGAAAGTAGCTCTTGAGAAAATAGCTCCTGAAAAGAAAGTAGCTTTTGAGAAAGTATCAGAAGACAAGGATAATGAAATATGTCACATGTGTATAGTTCTTGTTAATTATATTGATAATGAACTGGAGAAGAACGAAACACAAGCCCAGATTGGATCTTTCCTTGCTAAAGGATGCCAACTACTCCCCGATGCTTTCGTATATACAGTAAGTAGTACTGTAGACAAATTTCTAAGGAGTTAAGATGCTATGGAAGAATAAAAAAGAGAATCCAGTTGTTTATCTCTCTCCCCATCCTGTTAGGATGGGTAGAAAAAAAAGGAGTTATGAATTATAACCTTCCTGAAGAGTTACAAACCATTTTCCAAGTGGTTGGAACATTCACATTAGTTGGGAAGAACTTGAACAACTTTTAAGAAGATGAAAGAAATGTTTTGAGGTTCCAGATCAACAAGATTTTGGGCAACCACAGTGAAATTCTTTGGGAGTTGGAGTGAAGGCAGTATTTCCAGATCAACTCTCTCCTTCCTATAGTCCTTCGGTTGGGCTGGACATCAACATATTGGGGATAATCTGGAATATACTAGAATGAAGCAGGTTGCTCTAGTTACCATGATTTAGATTAATTCATTTAATTGATATGATAAGAGGTTTAGTTGGTTTTGAAGCTAGAGGACCCCACCAGGCACCTGCCTTAGTCTGACTTCTTTCTGCTTTATTACAGTGTGATCAACTGGTGGACCAATATGAACCAGCTGCTGTCCAACTCCTGATACAAGTCATGCAAGCATCCTTTGTATGTGTGGTAAGTCATATTGTAAAACTGATTTATATTCAATGGGTGAGCAGTTTAAACCCTGCTCTTACAAAACCGTAAGTGCCATTGAACTCTTCATTTCACAGTACTTACTGTATATAACTTGCCAGTCCTTGAAGACAATAAATTCTGGAGGCCACCTGACTCAAAACTGAATGTGGGCCGCTAAATCAAACACAGAAAGCAATAAAAAGAAAACAATAAAGAAAACCCCAGGCTTCCAAATACTACTCTCCCTCCGCAATATACAGGCCAAATGTGAAGCGGAAGGGGAAGAAACAGGAAAGGGGGTTTGGAGAGAGACAGTGGCTATGCACCCCCCTCTGCAAATGCTCCCATGTAAGAAAGCATAAAGGACGAGTGGGTCAGATGCCCTTGTGAAATCCCATCCATGCAGCCTTCATGTACAGCAAAATATTCCTTCTTTTTATGGGGCGGGGGAGGGGGAGAAGAGTGGATTTAAAATAGTTTTATAAAGCTCTTTCTAACAAAGTAATATTTTACTCTTTTGCCACACAGAAAATAGGAATTTGTCCTGAACCCCATCTTGTGGGAATGGAGGCCTGTTCCCGGGGCCCTACTTTCTGGTGCAAGAATCTTGAGACTGCAGAGCAATGCCAGGTAATCAAGTGATTGGGGGAATGGGGGGGGGGGAGAGGGAGGAGGAGAGGGTTAAGTCTTTAGTGCAAAATACTGAGGAAGGAAGGAAGGAAGGAAGGAAGGAAGGAAGGAAGGAAGGAAGGAAGATGGATTTCATTTTAAAAAACCCATTTTCAAAACAAGTAGAAAGAAGGCAATCATATTGACTGAGAGAAATATGGATTTTTACTCTTTTTCTTTATAAATTAATTCTTTCCTTTCTTTAGCCAAACACTGCTGCAAAGAGAAAAAGCAACAAATAGCTCAATGTCATATACAAATCAAAACCCAAGGAAGGAATAAAAGAAAAACTTGGGAGAATAAGATCATAAGCATTTTTTTTTTTAAAAAAAGCAGCAGAATTCATTTGTAGAAAGAGCTTCTGGACTAATAATATCCTCTTAAACTCACTGTCTCTTTCTTGACACACAATCTTATGGATCCACCAATAAGGTGCCAAGCACGGGATCACTGATGAAATCCTAACCCTTTCTATTTGTTCAAAATAGCTTTCCTAGTTCTTTCATTAGAAGAGGTCAAATTGCAAACACATTTTTATGCAATACAAGGGAACCAATTCCCTTGTTTGAAAAGCAGTGCTTTTTTTGTAAAAAAAAAAAAAAAAAGGTGCTGGAACTCACACACGTCATACAACCCGCCTTGCCTATCCTACAAGGTTCCATCCAAAAAAGGTGCCGGAACTCCGTTCTGGGTGTTCTATGAGAAAAAAAGCCCTGTTGAAACGTAATCTTATATTATATTCATATACATATCAAAAAGATGGGAGGTGAAAGCATTATATTCAAAATTTCAGATCTGTCAGAGTTGCCTGAAGCAACTTCTCTGATAGGAAAGGCTTAGATCTGGATGACATCTCACTGAAATCTGAATAATAAGTCTCACTCGTCCCACTTCAAAGCAAATCTCACTAGTAAACAAGTAGTCCTTGACTTACAACCATGCTTTCTGTTCCTAAGTGAGTTTTGCTCCATTTTACGACCTTTCTTGCCACAGTTGTTAAGTGAGTCACTGCAGTTGTTAGTAACATAGTTGTTAAGCGAATCTGACTTCCCCATTGACTTTGCTTGTCAGAAGGTCGCAAAAGGGGATCACCTGACCCTCGGACACGGCCACCGACATAAATACATGCCAGTTGCTAAGCGTCCGAATTTAGATCACGTGGCCACGGGGATGCTGCAATGGTCGTAATTGTGAAAAACGGTCCTCAAACACTTTTCTCAGTGCTGTTGTAACTTCAAATGGTCACTAAACAAACTATTGTAAGTCGAGGACTACCTGTAGTTTACTCCAAGAACCTTCAATTTTTATTGAAAAGGGATTAAAAACTGAGACAAGTTGACAGATGCCTCTTGAAGTTCAGTTCAGGTGTTGGCTGTGTCTCCAGATTCTCAACTTTCTCTTATGGTCAGTTGTGATATGAACTGAAAATAGCTGTTCTCTCCTTTTTCTGTAGGCCATTGAATACTGCAAACACCACATATGGATCTAGAGGATGAGGTCACAGCAGTGGAAGAACATTGGCTGTGATGTTTGTTGAATATATCTGGAAACTTGATTTGGGTGAAAAAAAATGTGAAAAATCTGAATCTTGGCAAAAGCCCACCTTCCTTTCCCACCTTAAGCTCCCGGTATCAAAGGAGGCCACTGTTTCATTTGCTGATCAAGTTCTGAATCACTTTTTTACTTTGAGCTATGGTGAGAAAGGAATGTAATTGAGAAGAAGAGGGTGGAAGGATTAAGAATTTCTTGGGATTGTGTTCATAATAGCAATAACCAATTTTAGGAAGATAAAACAACTACATACAGTGGTCAAAATAACCAGAACAGGTCATTTACGCTGGGATTTTCAAGTAAATAGGAATGTTGAATTTTGAAGATTTCCTAAGTGGGGAGATGCTTTAGGATGTTGCTGATCAAAACAGATTAGAAGCGACAACAGCTGCAAAGATAGTGGATGTGAAAAGGTGTTGCACCAATGGAGCATTATTCTTCACATAGGACATAAATGTGTTCTTTAAAAATGTCAAGGAACAATTCTGCTATTTTTTCTCAAGAAGCTCTGAATTAATGTAAATGCTAACCCTTATAGCTATTCTTGAAATGTAGAGTAAAGCAATGGGGCTTTCTCTTCAATGCTTATGCACATTTTATCAGTTGAAAAAAAGATAAATATTGATCTATTTGATATTGACTATCTAATTGGCAACAGTACCTTTACAAACCCTGTATTTTAAAACTGGATGCTAAATAAAACCTTGATCCTTGAACCAATGCATATGTTGGATTAACTTCTTGTGAGATGGGTGGCTGTATAAAATTTGATAAAGAAAAATTTATCTTGGAAAGCCAATTGTTCTTTAGCTGCTGAATAGACTAATAGATTTGCATTTCATACAAATAAAATTCTTTTTCAATTAAATGTACTTAAAACTAGTAAGGGGGGAAAACCAGAGAAATGCAACTTGCCCACATCCCAGAGAAGCCAAAATGAACAGAAATTTAGACAGGAGATACAAAGCTCTCAATCCTGATATTCCTATCAATATTGTTCACACCCTAGTCCAGGGGTCTTCAAACTTGGCCTTTTTATGACTTGTGGACTTCAACTCCCAGAATTCCTCAGCCAGGCACGCTGGCTGAGGACTTCTGGGAGTTGAAGTCCACAAGTCATAAAAGGGCCAAGTTTGAAGACCCCTGGACTAGTCCTTTTCTAGTAGCATACAGCTGAATGTGATCCAAGCTAGTTCAGAAGGTACAGGTGAGAATTAGGATGACCCTCAAAGTTTGTTATGATGAAGACTAATACAGGAATATGAAAAACAAGAATAAATATATTCCCTTTCCTTGTATGTGCAGAAGTAACCATCTGTATGCAAATCTTTCTCAGATCAGAATAATTCAATGTATTGGGTTCTGCTAATTAAAGCTTCAATTCTTATCCACTTTCCTGGAATAAGTGCAACATCTGATTCTTTTATAATATGATGGGATGCTAATTAGTGAATCCAGGAAGCAAAGCTTTCACTTAGAATTCTGCAGATTCCAGAAACAAACTGTTCAGGAAGCATTATCCAAGCCTTTCCCTAATTAATGGATACATGCTTTGTCTCAATCTTATGCAACACACAATTAAAGAGAAGTTCTGAAGCAATTGGCTTTGATTACAACTTGTAACTATAGAAACATTGGCATGTAATTGGTAAGCGGGGGGGGGGGCGCAAAGCATTTGAAAGAGGGACTTTGTACTACATGGATCCATGAATAAAGCTTCTCCCCTTGAGTCATTAAAACAATTGTGCCTTTTGCAAAGCTTGTTTGATTGTTTCCAAATCTGTCTGATACCAGGTTCCTCTAGAACAGGGTCTCCCAAGCTTGGCAACTTTTAAGGCACATGGACTTCAATTCCCAGAACTTCCATTCCCCATTGTGAGTAGAAACCCTCACCTACCGAATCCTAGCTTCTGAATCAGTGACCCACATGGCAGTGGTGCTGTGCCTGACAATTGGGGAGCGTTGTGTTCTGCTCCACCTCTATGTGGTCGAATGCAACCTACATTGTTCCACAACTCCTCTTTCAAATGGCCCAACAAATGATCTTTCAAAGTTGTAGAGATGCCATATTTTTGGTAAGCATTGAAACATCTATTATCAACTATTTCTCTCATCTATTATCTCTCTATCGCTCTATCAATATCTCTCATATCTCTCTATCTATCTCTCTATCTATCTATCATCCATCTATCTATCATCTATCATCATTTATTATCTATGTACTGTATCTTGCTTTAATAGAAAGTAGGTTTGCCTTTTCATGTTACACTGAAGTGAAAATAATCATTTTGTCAACGCTGCAAATACTGTATATTCTTGCTTTGACAATATGCAGAACTGTCTGGTATTTTTATAGTTAAATCAGGCAACAGTGAAAGGGGAGGAGAATAAGGAAAGCCCGGGAAAAAGGAACCGGAAGTGATTCACATCTTCCAATTAACTTGGAAGATGTGATTCACTTCCCCAAAATAGGGGAGGGAAAAATGCCTGGAATGTATGCGCAACGGAAAAAAAAAAATCAGATCTTAGCATTCCACCATGCCGTGCTGACATATCTGTAACCTTAATAAAGGCTTTTAGGTTAAAAAAATGCCTGAAAGTTCTTTTAAGTGTTTCGTTAATCAGACACATGACACATTTCCCACCAGAACTCCCTTTCTGCAGAAAGGCCCCGAAGATCTCTCTGAATCAAGAACAGTATTGGGCACAAACAATAGCAACAGAATGTAAATTTCTTGGTAAACACATGGTTTACATAGAAGGATGAGAGAGAGAGAAAGAGATGGGAGAGACAGAGAGATGACTTTGGATATCATTCAATCTACATTATAAAAAATATATACTCCTAAAATAACATCACTCTGTGCATTTTCCAAACCTTCTGGCTTTAGAAACATTAAAGAGTTCTTACAAGCTTCACACAGAATCTTGATTTTTTAAAAATGAACAAAACTTCCCATTAGTTTTGAGCATCTCTTGTATTATAGTTGACACATGAATTAAAAAAAGACGACAACATTAAATTGTGCTATGTGGTCCAAGAGCTCAACAAGCAGGAAAAGACATAGTGTTGGTAGACTGAGGAAATGTAGGTTTTAGGAATTATTAGATATATTGTTACATTACTCTGACTCAACCACAATCTTTTGAATGGAAGATTAGAATTCAGGGATGACAATGAAGTAAGGCAGGTATTTATTTGCTGCCACTGAACTCATCTTAGAGCAGATGTGTTGGAAGCATATGATTTATAGTTATTACTATATATATATATTATCTTTATTCTAATTTTTATAACCCGTTATTTTTAAATCTTTCACAACATAATCTGACTTCAAAATGATTAAATACTACTTTTAAGTAGAATTAGTTTGTCTTAAATCCAGTCTTGGTGATTTCAGTTTTATAGCTCTGGAGATGACTGTAACTATCATAGTGTACATATCTGACTTCTTTTCGGTCAAATTGTGCTGGCAAAGGGTTAATACTAGGCATGAGCAAAATCTACCCTTTCTCCCCCAGATCAACATCTGGAGAAACCACATCTGAAATGGACAGGCCTGTTGTGTCAAAAGTTGTACTTGGCTTATGCAAATTTATAGTATTGGAGCCACCTGTAAGCATTTAAGAAACCCACAATTCAGCAGTTTGAAAATACTGTTTTTTGATTTTTGAATGCTAATTTCAAGTCACCTGAACATTTCAGGAAAAACTGATAGCATCTAAGGGAGATTTAGAAGCTAAAGAAGATATTTTGCTACTTCAGCAAGGAAATGTATGCTTGACAGCTGTGGCTGAAAATCCTGATTAGCAAGTGCATAACAGCACACTATTGCATGTTGCTATTTAATGGCAATTACAAACTTCCTGTGATGAGCTACCATTCCCATCCTCCTATATTGTACCAGTTGTTGAGATTGCAAATTTACTCGTAATAATCCAAAACAGCAGCCATTTCAGCTAATAAGACAGAGCAAAACTGAAATCTCAGTAAACAGTTATGGTGCAAAGGCTGGCGATTGTAGCTAAATGTTTTATGAATACAATTACTATATATGAATGGTAAATAATGATTTTTCTTGCCCATAAATTCCAGCAAATAGAACAGTCCACTCTTGATCATCATTGCTATTTTTCTATGCATTACGATCATCCACCTTGTCATGGTTCTTTTCAAACTTTGCTTTTGGGCATGTAGAATTGTCCTGTTATCTTAACTTCTCCTAAATGGATTCATGTAAATCTCAGGTTAAATAGGTTTCTTTAGATTTAATTTATTCACATCAGAATGGTGTTAGTTCATTATATATACTGTAGATTGCTGCATAATCCATAAGGGACACTTTTAATTCCTTTCCTTGGTAGTCTTAGGAATATGTTACTTTTATTGATGAATATAATTATCATTCTGATTTTTTCAGCTGACACGGTGTGTGCATTCAGTCTAAAGTAGTTATGAAACCTATGGCAAAATGGTTAACATGACATTTGGGATGGAAAAGAGTACACACAGATTAACCAAATTCATGTGTAATGTATTTCTGGTTCCTTTAACAGACCATTCCAAAAACTCTCAACACATCATTGTTTGAAATAAAAGAAGAAGAAAAAATTACACACCAACACTCTTGACATCCAGAACCTTATTTAGTCACTCTGCTTGGTTGCTGTACTGTTTTTGTAAGCCACCAAAATGAAAACATGGCTTCAGGTTTCTTTTCCAGGAAATATGACAACACAGATTAATGCTGAACAGATTTATGGAGCTTCCTGAAGTTTATCACACAACTATTGTGTGAGACCAAATGGATCATCATAGAATCATCTTAGCTGCATTCGCTTGGTAGCCATCATTCCCTGCTACCATGGTGGTAGGAGAACACATTGATCCAGTCAAGGATCGATGGACTGATGGAACATGGCACCACGATTATTGCAATTCTAGCTTTAGG